CCACCCCTAAGCCCTTTAAAGAGGCGTGGACTAAACCTCCCAGTGTCCCCCCCCCAGCCATACTGGCTAGGGAATTCTGGGAGTTGAAGTCCACACATGTGATGGAATGCAATAGCGGAGCAGCTTCTCAGGGAGGAAGGAGCACAAGAGCCAAGAGACAACACAGTCCGGAGCAGGAGCGCGGGAAGCGGAAGAGGTTCAGGATAGCCGCTCCCTCGACTCTCCCGGGGTAGATCCACTAGGTTAGAGTAGGGCAGGTGTAGTCCGGCAAGGTTCTCTCCATGTGGTGCAAGCAATAAAGGAACTGGACTCGGCTGGACTGTTCCCCTGCTGTTCTTGGGCAGGGCCTAGCAATATTTCTTAAAGTTGCCAAGGTTGAGTAACACTGGATTAGATAGATGGTAACAAAATCTCCTTTGGGTCAAATCCAAGTAACCTTATGTAGTTTTCTTGGCAACAGCGAGAAGCAGTTTGTGATGGTCTGGACTAGTCTGAGCGCGGCTGTTAACAATCGATTACCCTATTCGTTTTGCGTCCAGCCCTGAAGAAGGGCCGCCTGCAAATGTGGGAAGTGGGTAAGAAATAATTAAATACACCTGTTACAAACAGCATCGTCGTGCTGGATCTCGTCCCTCATCCTCCTTCGCATGGGGCCAAGCAGATGCCCGAGGGAAGCCCTGCCCTCTCAGCTGCTGCCAGAAATTGATGCTGGGACCCTCCTCTGAAGGCGTTTGGGGTCCCAAGCAGGAGCCCTGCTGCCGGACTGGGCCAGCGTGCCCATGGCTGACCAGCTGCCGTTGGGGTGCCCCTCTGGGCAGGACTGGCACAGCCCTACCCTTTGCTGGCAATGCTCTCCGGTACCCTGGCTCTAACGGGCCCTTTGGCAGGAGGCAGCACGGCAGTTTCTTCTTTGTCGCCCCCTGCTCCTTTGCAGATGACCGGGTAGGAGAAGAGCAAGCCGCCTTCCCCTTGCTAGGGAAGGTATGAACACTGACGATGTGTGATGGAATGGAATTATGAAGGCCAGGCTCAGGGAGATAAACATTTTCTTAGCTCCC